CCTTGTATGCACTTTGTGCTTACAGTCTACTTTTCTTGAAAAAATAATTACAGTCGAACCCCAAAAAAGTTCATTAGTTCGATATATGGCATAATTCGATATAGGCCGGGTAAAGGTTTTGACACAAAGGCACATAACAAACTAGAAGAAAAGTACTTTATTAATATGATGGCTTACTTGCGTGCCCTACTGTGGAACAAAATAGTCCCAGATTTTTTTCAGTGTCAACGACTTCGTTGCCTGCGACAGCACGCATGCCTCTACGTTGTCCAACGAGTCAGAGCAGCTGAGGCCGCAACCTTCTACATTCAAGCAATAGCGCCAGACCAACGCAAGTGCACTAATCACTTCGAAGGATGTAGGCAATGGGTCGTCGTCGATTTCCATATTGCTGTCGCTTTGACTTGTGGTCGGCACGACGTCTGCAATGTAATCCTCATCCTATAATTGGCCCATGATGGGGACATCATCGTCCGCACTGACGAACTCGTCGAATGTCAATCCGTCGATAGCACCCGGGAACTCTGCCAGCTCGTTCCAAACTACGGCGGAAACACCTGCGGTGTCTTCAGTGCTGCCAGAATTTGGGGTGTCATCACCAGGCATGCGAAAGCCGGCATGCCTAAAGCAGTTCTGAATCGTCTCCTTCTTGACATCTGCCGACAATCTACTCAACATAGAAATAGCTCTGAGCAAGTCGATATTAAGCTCCCTGCCGACACGAAGGTTCTGCAGCAGCTTCTCCACCAGGCGCTTTCGATAGCCGGCTTTCATTGCGCATATAACGCCTTGATTCAGTGATTGCAGTACAGACGTAGTGTTCGGGGGCAAAAAGGCAGCTCGATGTTGCTGAAGGTAGTACTGCAGTGGTAAGATGAACGATTGTCCACGAGCAGGCACACCTCGCGATTTTCACCAACCAAATCATCATTCCACAACGATAGCCATCTGCTGAAAAGCTCCCCGGTCATCCATGCTTTTGAGTTTGCTCGGTAGGTAACTGGAAGCGACAGCGCATTTTGAAAACACCGCGGTGCCATGCTTTTCCCGATAACCAGAGGTCGAAGCTTTTTCGATCCGTCTAAATTAGCTGCCAACAGCACAGACACACGAGCTTTGTTTGCCTTGCCGCCGCTTGTCTTGTAGCCACGACACGCAAGTGTCTTGTTTGGCAACATTTGCCAAAATAGACCGGTTTCATCCGCATTGAAGATATCTTGGGCTCTATATCTTGCTGCGATATTTGACCAGTTTTCCTCGAGCCATTTTTCTACGCTGTCCAGGTCCGCTGCTCTGCTTTCACCTGTAACAGCTTTGCCAACGATGTCGTGCCGTTCTTTGAACCGCTGAAGCCAGCCTGAACCGCCTTGGAAATCATTCCTGCCAAGCAGAAAAGCAAGGCCCTTGGCTTTCTGCTCGATCATAGGGCCAGACACAGGGATGTTTTGCGACCGAACGTCCACAAACCACTTGTAAACGGCCGCTTCAACATCTTCGTACACAGCAGCGCGCACACATCAGGCGCCACGGGCACCTGGCCTTTTGTCCGACTTGGCCATGATGTCTGCCTTGTTCTTCAGGATAGTACTCAAGGTGCTCCTTGGAATTCCGTAGCGGTGGCGACGTCGGACTTCTTTTCACTGCGCTCAACCCGATTGATGATTTCGAGTTTCGTGGAGAACAGAAAATTTTGCCTCTTTGCGCAAGCCATGATCACAGCGCGCCAATACAGTTCACAGAGCACCAACAGGCAACACCACAGACCCCGCTGAATCGGCAGCAGGAGGCACACAAACATAAAGAAAGAAAAAATTGCGCTCACTTCTACCGCCTGCGCGCCTCTGAGAAAGCACTACGGCCTCTGATTGGCTGTAAGTGCTGCGAGCGGGGCAGAATCATTTCTTGGAGGGGGGTGTTCGCCCGCGCACAACCGGGTCTAACCAACTTTTTCTAGAGTGGCGCCGGCAGTTTTCCCCGCCACCGCAAGGGAAAGCCAACTTGCTGGGACACTTTTGAGGCACATGGAGTTTGATATATCAGTTGTCGTTGCTATTTTCGTTCGATAAAACAGTAACTTTTGCTATATATTCTCAATGTAAACTTACCGTGTTTAGGAATTGTTCAATATACGGGATAATTTGATATAAATGACTTCGACATAGTTGAGCTCAACTGTAATAAAGATACGCCATGTACGAAAAACAAAATGTTTGTCTAGAGTCAACTCTGTATAACAAAATTGTCAGGCAACTTCTAGAGCAGTGCGGAGACACTGTGCGCTTTTATATTCACACTTCATCTTCGCAATGCATCGGTCGAACACTTTCAGCTCCTAGCTTCATTACAACTTGTGTTTGTCGAGCTTGTCGATAAGTATTGATGCTGAGGGGAAATAAGGTCTTCAGGAAGTGTAAACTTCACGGAAACCCATACAGTTCTCTAGTAAATATGAATAAATGCCAGTTACGTACTGAGGAGCTGGACACTGAACCAGCAAGCTCTTCATTGCTGAACCTCTCAGTTTTTTCAGCATCCTTCGAGATGAAACACATGCATGGTGACAACGGGTGTGCTCTAATGGACATGACTAATAGTTGAAATCCGATTACAATAAATAGCGCATTCGAACTACCCAATGCCAGTGTTGAGTTATTGGAAATCGCGTCACAGGGTTTTGCTGTCTTTGCTTAGGTTCAGAGTCTTAAATATTGCGACAGTGGATATTGTTCTTGCATTAAAAATTGGTAGTATCACACAAGCCCAAATTCTGAAATTGTTAGGATTGAAGTCTGGCCAAACTACAGTCTATTTGCTGGAAAATGTTCACCGCACTTGAAAATACACTGCCGATAGGGCTGCACGACAGCTCAAGAAAAAAGCAAGGCAAGGCATTACGAGATGCTCCAAATTAAGAAATTGACTGGGCAATGATTATCAATCTTATAGCTACTAAATAAAATATTTGAGCGGTGTTTGTGACAAAGCGTGTTTACTTTTGAACCATTTTCTAACCTTAAGCTCGATTTTTTATTACTTTGGTACTATTACTTTCTATGCATTCCAAGATAACCAGTTGATTATTTTTCTTGTATTTCACATAAATGCATACAGCTACTAAAGCAGAATTGAAATTATTCACATTACTATTTTTGTGTTACAAATTGCCATAAATGTGAATTAACTCAAAATTTACATCCTAGTGGTAAAAAAAAAATGGACAAAAATTCTAATATTAGTCACATTTTAATATATCTGCTTTAGGTTAAAGAAGGGAAAATTCGAAAAAATATTACGTACGAGTTATGTGAACATCCTTTTTATTTACTAGGAAAATGAAACCTCAAAATGATTGAAAAGCCTGAGATGTATAGGGCCTACCCGGTGCCCTTAAAAAACTGAGCAAGGATATTTATTCAGCTTAGAAAGCATTCTTTCAATACTGCTATTTGATTTTGCCAAGGAGAAATGAATTTTCTATAACAAATGGAGGAAATGAAGGCTAGAGTCTCTGTTCAAAATGCACCTTGCTCACACTGCAGCACCAGATGGTATTTGTGTGACACTGTCAACTCCAAGAAGTTTCCGTGTACGTACATGGGCAATTTTTGCACTGGAATATGCTACACATTCAAAACCTGGAATATCCATTGACAACCTGGTAGATCCAATTTTCTGATTTTCAAAATCTCCGAAATCAGTGTTGTTGACCTACAACAAGTTAAACGCATATGGTCGCAAGCAGGTGGTGCCAAAGTCAATGATGCCAGCAGGGCAAGAGTGAGAATTATAATATGCAATTTTCTTACATTTCTGCTATTTGGCTGACACTAGTAAACAATAAAAACAAAAGAAAAAATAGGACAGAATGATACAGCTCTATCTGTCTTCTAATTAACAGAAATGAGAGGTTAACGGAACATGCATGCAACCTACGCAGAAAGGTTAGCAGTACTAAAAAAGCTTATAGCCAGTGACAAGTGATGAGCACACGGTTTCTTTGATCCACATTATTCTTGATCTATCTGACCCACCAAAAATTTTGGCACATGCGGTCTACAAAGGAGTTAACTTTTAGGGAAAGTAGGCCGAGTACGAGAGTGGGGGCACAGAATACAGCAAGTGTTAAACGACCCCTGACGCCAAATTTGGAAACTCGAGATGCTTGTGTTGTTTGAAAGTTCTGCATGCAAAATATTCAATTTGAAGCAAATTCAAACGCTGCATTATTCGTTCACATCCTCTGACCTCCAACCGATTATTGGTGACGAGTGTTGCCTATGAAATATTTTGGTTTGGTTTTATAGTAAGGGTCAGTGCTTAACCTAGTATTTAGGACTAATCAACATTTTCTGGGGTTTGAAGTCAACACGGGGCCACATCGTGAGATACAGAGGTAAAGCAACTATTCTTGACGCTGGAGAACATCAGCGGGGCGTGCACAATATTCAGACTGGCTCCTGGCAAGGGCTATTGTTTATCCCCGCTCTTGCTCTGTTGTCGGGCTGCTCTGAAGGTGGTTTTGGCTGCTTACGCCAGGAATGCTTTTCACTTTTCTAAGGGGGACACGCTTGAAGCACCCACACTGTTTTATTCTTCACCGTCCACTATTTGCAAATGGCACATTCCGCTTCACCGAAACTTCAGCACACGTGGTCTCAGGCACTGCCCCGTTGTGGAACACCAGTTTCTCATAGTATTTAGGTGGGTGTCTTGGACTGACGCAAAAAGGTTCTGAACTAACAATGCTAGCATTAATTTTATGATGCGTTACAGCATTCCCGATTTAATTTTGGCATTACTAGTAAATTACTGTTAAAAAGCCAAAAACAAAAATTTTTGCAGTTGGGGTCCTTTAAATTTTACACAGCTCACAAATGTTAATTATTGGTTTGAATAAGAGTTGAGCTGCTAGCATATAAAGCTTTACACAGTGCAATAATACTACCAAAGTGAGATATAAATTAAAATGGGAAAATCAAGACAAAAGGGAAGGCGCATACCAATGTACTCCTCGAGCGAAATCTTGCCATCCTTGTCCTTGTCGATGTCCTCCATGGTCTCCTCGACGACGACGCCCTTCATGTCCTCGCTCTCCTCGGGATGAAGGAAGTTTCCAAACTCCTCCTTGTCGAGGTGGCCATCGCCATTCTTGTCGGCACGGTCCCAGCGTCGCTTGTCACGCCGTACCATGTCCTGGAAGCTCATGGCACCCCCGTCCGAGTCCGAATCGGAGTCATCGCCATCACTGCCTGCAATGAGAGTGATCGTTTGATTGATATGTGGGGTTTAACATCCCAAAACCACCATATGATTATGAGAGACGCCGTAGTGAAGGGCTCCGGAAATTTCGACTACCTGGGGTTCTGAGCACACGGGCCTACAACATTTCCGCCTCCATCAGAAATGCAGCCGCCGCAGCAGGGATTCGATCCCGCCACCAGAGGGTTCGCAGACGAGTACCTTAGCCACTAGACCACCCTGGCGAGGCTTGCAATGAGATTGAAAAACAACTGCTGCTCAGTACAACAACAAACAAAAAAACTTTTTAATTTTAGAAGTTTTGAAGGCATGCAACCATGATTGAGTGCATGCGCAAACACAAACCATGCAAGCAGGAACATGAACCGTAGGAGTGCGAGCCTCATCAGTGCTTCCTACACTCTAAGAACACTGGCATCCTTCCAGGTGTCTATTTGTCAACAGTAACAATTGTCATCTATCTCGCGTGCCTTTCCTTGCCTCGCACTTTTAGGTCATGAACGGTGCACACATTATTAGTGGGCTTGAGCGAATATTCGAATGATTTGAATATTCTAACGAATAATGCAGTATTTGAGTTAGCTTCGAATTGAATTGAAGATTTTGAAGTATTCAAGAGGAACGAATAGGTGCATATTAGTCTGCATGCAACACCCTGTAAAAATGGTTTCACTGCAGCGAAGTCGTGCTAAGCTGTGACAACATGTAGTCAGAAAAAATCTGCGCCGCCACCAAACCCCACTTCCAAGGTTAAAATGAAGATATAAGCCCTACATCGATTCATTTTTTCAGTTTAAAGGCTCATTATACCGACATATATGCTCTAAGCATAGCAAATTTTAAAGTGTAACATATTTTACGAGTTATCAGTAGCATTGTACCAAAAGTCAAATCCTCCTACTTTTAAAGTTATTTGCTTATGCTTTTAACAAAAGAAATGGCACTTGCACCACAGGCATTGTTTCAATTTTCACAAGATGTTATACAGGTTAGTTGAATATGACAAATATGCTCCTTTTTCATTGTATAATTTGATATATACACTATTTGAATTCTATTCAAAATTATTTTACCAAAATCAATATTCGCTTCAAGTTGACTTCGAACATAAAATTCACTATTTCTACAAGCCTAGTAATCACTGTGAAACAGCATTGCGGACAGCAAACTGGCAAGCGCCATGTTTTCAAGAAAAGAAACTCAACCAAGCCAGACGACAATTAAGCTTGTGAGCACAAAAAGATGACTTTCACAACGGCGCAAACCATTTTTCGAGTGAAAACATGAACGAGCTATCAAACATTGACAAACAGCCACTTGTCACAGACTCGGTCATTGTCAAATGGCCCATTGCCGCTTATATCCTTGTATTATTGGATGGCCATGGGTCCGGCAGCCGAATCAGTGAACAATTTGCCAAATGACAATTCACTTAATGACTTGCAATGAGTCATTTCTCAAAAAAAAAAAAAAAAGCCAGGCTTGCGTGGAACGCGCAGCACACTCACAGCTAAAGCTGTAAAAGCGGCCTTATGGAGCCTTCTTTAAACACTCTTTTGACAATGCCATAAATCATCATAGTTGTGTGTACTATGCAGGCATTCACTACGACATCCTTTGTCATTCTTCAGAGAAGCATGGTACTCGCTATGCACTTGAAAGAAATTTTGTTGCCATTTTTTGATGCTGAGGCTGACGAAGATGAAATGTTATGCCTGAAGCTTTAGTGATGGGCTGGAGCATTTGACAACATACTCGTTACGCAATTCACCTTGTGTGACGCCTGGTTGTTCCTTCGTTGTTTTAGAATGCTTAATTACTTATGTTGATGTGATTCCTTCCTCCATCAAGCTTGCCTAGGGTCGGTATGAAACGGAGTTTCAAGAACAGACTTGGTTCAGTGGTAGAACACTGCGCTGGCACGCAAGGAACTCAGGTTCAAAACTAATCATGTCTCAGATGTTTTTATTTATTAAGTTTTTTTCCCATTTCGTGCAATAGTGGTTATGGACACCAGCCGCAGACAACTACGACGCACGCAACCCTTGTTGTCTCATACAACTTTCACTTAAAAAGAAATGAGCCACCGTCGTCATCTTCAGTGAATTTGCATTGTCAAGTAGTCCATCAGTAGTCACAAACTAGTGTAGACTACCAGGTTTATGGTGGCACTCAGAGCGGATTCCTTGCACCATTTAAACCAGATCTTGGTTTCGTTGCAAATGTCTTCCCCATTCACTTAAGTCATTATCAAGGTATAAGACGCAGAGTCAATACTCATCAATAATATATGCGGTTTTTTATGCCAAAACCATACGGTCATTATGAAGAATGCTGTATTGTGTAAACTTTAACCATCCAGGGTACATTAATGTGCACCTAAATTTAAGTACACATGTCTCTAGCATCTCGCCTCCATCAAAATGTGACTGCCACAGCCAGGATCATACCCACGACTTTTGCGTCACTGCATCACTACTGCCGTTTATAACGGTGTCACACGGGCACTTTTAATCGCAATCAGTGTCGATCCGGATTAACCATAATCCAGATTAGGTGCGTCTACACGGTTACTTTTAATCACGACTAGACGTAATCGGGATGAAGAGTATCGCGATCCTTGCATCGCGATCTGCCTGAGAGATCGTGATTTCCCTGTCATCTGCATCCCCTAGTCGAGCTTGTTGAAGCACAATAAACAAGAAAATCGAGCATGGTTCAATAACAACACTTCAAAACAGTTAGATGTTCATAAAAAATGAAATTATAAACTGTTTAAATTGGAACAACATCTGAAGTATTGCATATTTTAGGATTAACATTGACCGCATCTAGTTACGGGAGATGTAGACGACAAGCAGTCGACCATTGCCCTCAGCGCTTAGTTCAACTCTCGTTCCATCGGAGCTGATAGAGCACCTCGAAGCAAACTGATTATGAGTGTCGCAAGCCTTTTGACTACGTCGCAATGTACGCGCACTTCATGGTCGAATGAAGAGACCTTTACAGCAATTGACCGCTGGCAGAAGCGACTGGAACAGACTTGAGGTGCCAGAAGTGAAACACTGGCACGTACACGCTTCACTGCCACTACATGACTACGAGCCGGAGCCATTAAAAATAAAAGCGAAGGTTAAGAATCTCACACAGCAATACAGGTAAGTGCTAGGAAAATTTCATCGAATGATGGATTTATGAAATTACTATTGTAGTGGCATGCAGAGTTCTTGACACTCGAGTGGTTCTTGCACGATTAACATTGCTGATAAAGGGCTCTATAAATACCGTAATTACTCGAATCTAACGCGCACCTTTTTTCCGGTTAAGCGAGTTCTTAAGTCGCATGCGCGTTAGAATCGAGTACGAACCAAAAAATTGCGGTCAATCTATTGCCATCGGCAAATCCAAAATGGCCGCCCCCTACGTGCGTCGGCATGGCGCGTCGGCCATTTCTGCCTACGTGTTTCCCATGTGCGGCACTTCGTACGTGTGCTGAGGAGTTCGTCATCTAGTAGTGCATTAGCATCGACAGCGTGGAAGGGCCAACTCTAAAAACTCGAGCGCACCACGATGCCGCTTTTAAAAGAAAAGTCATCGCGTGTGCAGAAACGGACGGAAATCGGGCCGCATCGCGGTCGTTCGGAGTTCCCGAAACGTGCATGCGGGACCGGCGGAAACAAAAGCAGAAGATTGTCGACAGCAAAGCTCCACGCAAAGGCTTCAGTGGACCACAGCAGGGTCGGTTTCGGCAAATAAAGAGCTGCTCGGCGAGTATGTGCTTGAGCAGCGAGCGGCACAGCGGCCCGTGACGACAGAACTGCTCCAAGTGGGGGCTATGCAATTAGTCTTAGAAAAAGGTCTAATGCGGAGCCAGTTTAAAGCGAGCAGGTGCTGGCTAACTAACTTTATGAAGAGGAAAGGCTTTTCCCTCCGAAGGGGAACATGCATATGCGAAAAGTTTTGCGGTGCAGTACAATGAAAAGCTTCACAGTTTTCAGAGGTTCGTCCTAAACTTGCGGCGCAACAACGGCTACCTGCTTGGGCAAATCGGGAATGCCGATCAGACGCCTCTTTACTTCGACATGCCCGGCACCACAACCGTCAAGAAGAAGGGGGCGAAGCAAGTTCGCGTGCTGACATCGGTCCACGGTAAAACTACAGGGACGGCAATGCTCTGTTACACGTCAGATGAGCACAAGCTTCGCCCGTACCTCATATTTAAATGGAAGACGCTCTCGAAAGGAGTCGTTTTTTCGAGTGGTGTGATCGTGCGGGCCAGCGAGAAAAATGGGTGCGCGTTACAATCGAGGGCGCGGTAGAATCGAGTAAATACGGTACACCGTACACCGAGTTTTGTCAGTGGCATGTTTTAGGGCAGGCAAATGCCACCTGGGGCATTTCATCTGACCGAAGCTCGAACCGGATTAGCTTGGGCCGTGTAGCAGCGGTCATAATGTTGATAGCGATCACAAAAACTAATCCAGGTCACCCTGATCGCGATTAAAAGTGCCCTTGTGACACCAGTATTACACTTGGTGATCTACATCAAGCAAAACAAAGTGCAGACTATGAAACAGCTACTGCCATCTTATGACAAAAAAAAAACACGCTCTGACATCCTTTTTTTTTTGTTATGAACTGCTTAGTGTAAGGCTTGAGCCAGGTGCAATAGTTATTACTCCATTACAGTAATCAGTCAAGTCGCACACAACATCCCTCTTCCGATTGTTCATCCCCACATCTTTCTTCAAGTGATCCCACCATAAATTTTGCAGGCACCTGCGAATCTTGGCCTTTGCCCTATCAACTTAGTGGCTTTGGCATTGTGGCGCTGACGGTGAGAACACAGGTTCATTTCCTGAACGCAGAAATCGCACCTCAGTGGTGCCAAAACTCTAGAATGTTGATGTACTTTAACTGAGGTGGGCATTAGGACACCCAAGGGGTCAAAATTAATTTGGCCTTCTTCACAGCAGCCTGCTTCATAATTGCATCACGGTTATGAGACGTACTATTCCAGAACTTATGTCAATTTCGCTTGTCTTTGCTTACCTTCGGCTCCGTACGTAATGTTTCGGTACTCGTCCCAGCTGACACGACTGCTTTCCTGGGGGTTGTACACCTTCCACTGCTTTTCGACGTCATCGCGGATGTAGCGCTTCTGTGTGTGCCTGATCCAGTCCTCGAGCTCCTGCTGCGTCACGTAGCCATCCTGCAAGAGACGCTCAGTTGTGAATTGGTCGTGTGGCACTGTACTAAAGCAAACAATACTGATAAAACAGGGGAGGTAAAACTGACAAATGATTAATCAATGAAAGGTGTGCAATAGAAGGATCAATTGTCATTAACATGTAGGTCTCATTAAATCAATTTATTAGATAAAAGCTTTTTGGTTAATAGGTTTATAGACAGCAACAAGGGTGTCTCTGCCACTTTTTTTTAATCACTGTGACATTTTTTCAGCATGGTTGGAAAATTCTGCCAACAGGTAATTGCAGCTCCTGAGAACAAGTGAGCCAAACTAAATAGAGCAGTATGTGGCCCGGAATTCACCATTAATTCTCGAAGTCAGCTAGATATCATTTGCTCTTCTCTCGACAACTAATGCTCTAAAGCCAAATTACCGTGCCATAAACCCTATGTCCACGGCCAGTGGCTCATTCGAGCACTGTAAACTACACAGTGGCTGTGGCTGCCTTGAAATGCTGCCACATTCCCACAGGTTTGCTCGTGGTTACACTGAAGGTAATCTGCATATTCAAAGAAAAGGAAAAGAAAGTGCACAATTGAAGTCACCATGCCCGTTGAGAAATGAGTGTATCTTTCTACCACCTTGTCATCCACCCTCCCCATAACTTTGAGTGCGCTCGCTGGTGCAAAATGAGAGAGAGCTCCTAAAAGGGCCCTGCAACACTTTTTGAGCATGGTCAGAAAACACTGCTGATCGGTAGTAGAGGCTCCTCAGAACACGCGAGCCACATGTTCTAGACCACAGAGCGCGCGGCCTGGAAATCACAATAAATTATTAAAGTCAGCTAAAAATTGCTTTCTTTTCTCTCGAGAAATGAAAAAAGACACTCAAAAATCGCGCATAGAAGGCCATCTATCAGCCATTGGCTGATTGGAACATGGTGCACTCAGTCGATACAGGGATTGCCGCGGAAGGCCCACGACTTGTCTACGCGTGCGCGCGTGATCACATGTAGAACGCCGCGTATTCGAAGAAAAAAAAATGTTCTCAAGGTCATATATTTACGTGACATATTTTCTTTGCCCCTGCCATTTCTCCCTCCTTTGCCTCCAGCGCTTTTGCCGAAATGAGAGAAGGGAGAACGCGATTGCAGCATGCAACAATTTTTTGTAAGTCTGCTCGTACTGTACAGATTATTAAAATTTAGTACGGATTATTAAAATTTTGGTGGCATTGAATTTGTGAGGCAGTAAGCTCTTTTAGTGAATCCATTCCACTGTTACTTGAAAAAGTATTTCAGAGCCCCTTCAAGGCATATGACAAATCCATGTAACCCAATTTGTACTTCGCAGATTCTAAGAACTTTCACAGCGGTCCATTCACAAGACAATAAAGGCCTTCAATGAAGCCATTCAATGACTACATCGAAAAATGTTGCACGGCCTCTTTAAGGTGCCTATCAGGACAAGGCAGCCAGCAAAAAGTCACACCTGTGTTCTTAATAATATCTGCAGTTTTACGTCTTAAAACCGTGATATGATTACGAGAGCCACTGTTGTGGAGAGATCCCGAAATTTTGACCACCTGGCGTTCCTAAACCTGCACTGACATCACCCAATACACAGGCCCCAGCATTTCGCCTCAATCGAAATGCGACTGCCATAGCCAGGATTGAACCTGCGACCTTCGAGTCAGCAACTGAGCATCTGTGTTTTTATTTGCTGCAAAATACTGCGATGACGTCATTAACCACCTCTGCGTGGTCATACAATGTCTTCAATGCCATTTTGTTCCCTGAAACATTAATAGTTGTGCATGCTTACAGTATTGCATGGTTTGGCTCTAAAATCACTTCTGGTATCCTCATGAAAGCTACACACGATGTCATTCATGGAACTGAACGGCAGATACCCTGATACTGCGAAGTTTACAATACGACAAAGTTTTCTCCTGAAGATATAAAAGTCCGTTATATTAAATTTCAACTGTATATTTCAACCTCTGCAACAGTCTAACAAGTCTTCACTTTTCTGTATTAAACTGCATAGTTCTGGTTAAGAACCACTGACAGCACTTATTTAAAACAATGCTTAGAGAAATGAGATTTTCTTTCATATGTGTAAATTACTGTTTCACAATACCAAAACCATCATTTTTGATGCAAGAAGACATTCGGTAAACTAGAAAATGCAAGGTGGCAACGCTACGTTGACGTTCTTGCATCAGTTACTGCAATTTATTAGATCATGATGGCGTCTACTAGGACCTATATGGTTCCCAATTGGCTAAATAAAGTAGATTGTCTTCTGAAGAGGCAAGACCCTTAACATACGAAGCTTCAGGAACTTTTGTTGAGCCAATTTGCCAAAATACGAACAATACAATTTCACATTCATGACATAACGTGCCGAGATTTTCCCAGAAAATTTTAAACATCCATTACTACACTCACGATGGTGAAATAAGCTTTATTGAAGTTTTAGAGTGATGTTTATCAAATTAAACTGCTTTACAGTTTCACTTTAGAGTCCCTTCAAATAATTACACCATCTCTCGCTAAAAGGAAGCATGTGTAGATGTGAAGCAGCGGGTGCTACCACTTACACTGACGTTCACGCTGGTGCTCATCGCGGTGTTGTGCAAGAGAGATACCAGGGGAGGTGCAAAGCACACAACGATGGATCGGTGTTTCCTACTGGAACATGCCAATCGCTGCTAGAAGACTCCAATTTGACACAGAAAACTACAGGTCGCTTTTAGTTAACGCACAGGCTGTGAATTTTTATTCTTCAACAAAGCACAGGAGAAATCTCCCACTGGCACTACCTTGGACACCAAGATCTAGTGCCTATATATACAGGGTGGCCAGTGAACGGTTGTGCCGTGCGAGCAGTCAGTTTTTTCAATCAAGAAACTTGTTAGCAGATGCTACCTGCGTTGGCTTTGCAAAGCGACAGAGAAGAGGAGAGGGAGAAGACGTACATGCACAATGGGCCTGTTAACGCCCCTGGCAGGGATGCCTAGAGGAGAGAGAGGGGGAAGCGAGTACAAGCAGGTAATAGAAGTGGAGAGAGTAATGCGCAGCTGTTGGAGAGAGGGAAATAGGAGAATTGGGCATGCGTATTGTGAGTGCGGATGCCGACACCGTGGGACATGAGACCGAGCAAAGAGATGCTTCACAACTAAATCTCTTTAACAAAAAGCATAGGCTCTCAGAGGATATAACTTTTGCTATGAAGTCCTTACCATTGAATGCTTTTTGCTACGCTATGGAGCGGCATGAAGGTCACTCACGGTGTCCTTGTCAATCTTCTCGACGATCTTGAGTAGCCGTTCCTTGCTCTCCTCTGGCGACAGCTGGTCAAATGTCTTGGCCGCCTCCTCTCCGAGAAAGGCCTCGTGGTCATAGTCAGGGTTGTGCTCAGACTCACCATCCTCGTCCTTGTAGTGCTGTTCATCACTCAATGGCTGCGAATGCATGCGCGCAGAAAAGAGTGGTATCCACAAGTGGGTACAACAGTCAAACATCAATATCTTAACAGTGTCATAAAAACCTACTAATGTCACATACCATGAGTCCCATTTGTTCATAATGTTAGTTGTTTGGTTTTCCAAGAAAAAACTGACAATGCATAAAAAAATTCTTTAATCAGATGAGTTCTAGAAGCTTATCTGCATTTACTCCAAGACCAAATGTGTGGCCTCAACACCAAAGGCATTATAGAATGACAGCTAGTAAATCATCTTTTTGTAAGTTCGTAAATATTATAAAAAACACATTTTTAGTATGCTGATTGCTAGCTCATTGATGTAAAGACTAATATGAATTTTTTAAAGGGAACCAACTCTAAATATCAGCTGCTGCTCAGAAGCCATGCTCGCAATATCTCGGCAGTTCACTTGTGATTGTTGTGTATTGTGGCCTGAAATGTCTACGAGCGTACTGAAGATGGCATGCAAATAATGAAAAAAATTTAGTGAACTGAACTGGAGACTTATATTCTAAGAAAAGTAAGAAATCATCGGAACTTATTGTGTTTGTATTTTATCACATGAGACAGAACACTGACGTTTACAGGTGAAGAAAAGAAGTGCAACTTTAAGCCCTAATTTTTCTTTCTTAGACACAATATTAATGACAACAGTCAAGAATACCAAGGTAAGTATACGTGAAATTATTAGAAGCAAATGTAATGTAAATGTGAAGAAAGAAAAGTGGACGAAAAGATAACTTGCCACTGGGCAGATGACCGCCACTTTCTTCACATTTATATTACAATCACTTCTAATAAGACCCCCCATACTTCTCTTGGCATCATTGTCTGTTAGTTCTCATTATTAATGTGTATGGGCATGATTCACGTCTCAACTTGGCTTAGACTGCGCAGCTGTGACAAAGTTGGTAAAACAGCCTAAATTATGGAAGCCTAAATTATGGTTATGGAAGCTTTTTTATATTAGGGCTGCTATTTAAAGGTACAAAAGTTAGTGCAATGTTTGTTAGTACTATTCTTCCCCAAAGGCCATGGCACAGAAGGTTATGGTCCCTTTCACTATATTTTCGAATCACATTTGCTCCCATCGTGAGTGAGCAGGCTGAGACAATGACTTAATGCTTAAGCACATACATACACAAAATGAGCAGTAAAAGAGCCAGGGCAGCACTTGCCTTTTATGTCTTTTTCTCTTTGTTATCATTTATGTTCAAGTTCCAACATTCCTAAATATCTCTCTATAATTAACATCAATCAACCAGCTCGACTCATTATCTTGTTCAGTTAAAGGCCATAAGAATTTCACTCCAGTACGTTTGTTACAAGTGAGCACCATGTACAATTTAATCAACCTTGTAGAAGTTACAGAACTGGTAGTCTGTATTACTTTTTCATTAGTAGCTTTCACACAGCACCTAGGCAAACGATGCACGCTCTTTGCAGTTGTTGCCATGACGTTGGTCCAGGAACACCACTCTCAATATCACTTAAGAGTCCCTGCATCTCAAAGGTCACTGGACGAGCAGCATATTCTATAGTCTTTAAAAGGCAACTTTAGAAGGCAACTTTAGAAGGCAGCAGCACATCCACCCCACACGAAGATGAGCACAAGCTTGCACCGATGGGCGTGCGCCCATCGTCAGAAAATATCGTCAAAATATCGGCTATATCGTCAGAAAATATAGACAAGTGCATGAGCGAGCCTATTTTTTTTTTTTTTTGGTCACAATAGAAATTGGCTGCCATGCTTCAGTAATTTGAATAAAAACTCTCCAGCCTTTTCATATTGTATCGCACAGTAGGTAGGTCATGTCCTCGTCACGCATCGATTCTGATGAGCACTAATGTTAGTTTTGTTTCTTGCAGTTCCACCAGAAAAAATGGTCTGACTTGAGATTACTGCCCACAGAGTGTCTCCGCTGTATAACCAACCACAGTGTGCTGCAATAAAACCCCATGGCGCATCGTGTGTTTGTGGCACTTTTTAAAGCTTTGCATCGAGTGTGTGCTGCAAACTGATACACCAAATATTGCATCAACTTATAAACTTTAGAAAAATGCAAAGTAATGCCTTCACTAACAAGAAGCGTAGCACAAGTGCTACAAAGGAACACTCGAGTTGAGAAGCAACCTTCCTTTCTACATAAATACTGGCAAAATGTCTGCTATATATACTCATCTACACAGGGCACCATTGGCGATTAATAGGGATATTACACATAAATGTTTATTTGAAATAGAGTAATCAGCCATGCTATAGTAATCTATTTCTTTCTGTGTAGATGCAAACTATTCCATGTTATACGACTATGATAGCATATTGCATACAAAAACTGAGTAGGTCATCGTTGACAGTGGGCACTTCTTTCCATTCAGGTTTGTGTTTCAAGGGTGCGATAACATGGCAGATGGCTGTCAGTTCCCTAACCAAAACTGAACTAGCCTATACAAGAAAGAGCATGAGTGGGTGAAAAGGGAATGCACCTTAGGTGTGTGGATCTTTCGGTGTTCCTCCTTGGGGATGGCGATGGTGAGCGAGAGGTGAAGAAGGCACAGACCTAGTGAGTATCGTATCAGCAGGGACGCCATGGCTGCACGGACGTGACAGGTCTATCACTGCCTGGGGAGAGAATACCAGAACAGTATCAAGCAAGGCAGCCAAGTTTTCAGTTAAGGCACTGATTATTTGTGGTACCATATTTAGTCAGGATTTAATTCTACGGCACTTTCAGTATCAACTTGGTATGGAACACGAAAACTTGTAACATGAAAGGACGAGAAAGCATACACTACATACTTCTAGCACATACTCCCCGAACATGTATAGAGACAGGCAAAAGTGCTGATCTTTTTGTGTGCTTCGATTGATAGTGAAATGGCTGAATAAATTGTGCTTTCACACTCTGAATGATGCAGAACCAACGTGCTCAATCTCTGGTGCTACTTAGCTGATGCGTTTGCGCTAATAGAACACTGAAATTGAGCCACAACCTTCCCTTTTATGTGTCACTGAACTTTAAAAGAACTTCGAAAGCAGACTTGACACTCCCCCAGATGTACGATTTAATCTCAGTGCCCTTTTAATGCTTCTGAGGTGGAGGAAGAAAAAAGGTCAGATTCAAAGAAAGCATCATGCTGAACAGACCTTGAAGCACCCTTGCACAAAGACAAAAGGTCAGAGAAAGGCAGACAGAAAAGCACTTTCAAGTCTGCTTTTTTGTAACCTTTCACCTGGGTGCCGATGAGCTACACAATCTGTTCAACACAAACTAGACAGATGTATTCGCCATTTTGTTGCACGAACGGGAAAGACCATGTTGCTACACTCAGATGTCAGTATACATGACAAGACAATGATATTGAAACACGAATGCACCTCGTAATACTGAGCCAAAAAGGAATGTACATGTATGCTTGCTACATGAAAAAAAATTTATGAAAGCAGCATCAACAAAGTGTATCTATGAATGAGCCCTCGTAGGACCACAAAAAAATAATATTAAACTGATTCATTTACAAAGCCACAATATTGAGAAAGAGTTAGAACAATCTCACTACAAAGCGAATCGCACTGTTTTGCTAATGAAAATTTGCAAGAAAATTCTGAAGGTTCAACCGAATGTAGCTGTCACCATCGTGGCCAAAGACCGCAATAAGTCAATCTACAACCCGCAAAAAAATTATTTTTTTCATTTTGCGGTATGCATTGAATAAAAGGAATGGTCACACTATAACCACTTATGTGTTAATGAACCCCTTCCACATAAAACTGTGCCTTTCCTGTAGCTGCTAAATGCATTTGGCATTCTCAAACACAAAATGACTAGCTGTGATGACACCTTGGTTCCGTTTAAAATAGGGTGATTGGCAGAATGTTTCTGCACATCAGGTGCAACAGTAATTAGCCTCGGTCACACTAGTTTGACGAGATTTGCTTTTTCACCTATGAGGTCTTTCACCATTGCATAAAGCCTCAATACACATGCACTTTGGTGCATACATTAATTACAACTAACGGACAAGAAAGCCAAGGAAAATACACGGGGTATGTTCTTTGCAGTACCTGTGATATAAACTTGAAGAAAGAGAAGAGGACGAAAAGAAAACTTGCCCCAGCCAGGCACCTGCTGGCTCGTAAAAAAATACGTGCTTCGTGACACCAGGAGGCAGAAAAAGTGTTCCACACTCACAGTCACGGCTGCTGGCGATTCTGACTAACACTCCTAGATTTAAGTGAGCATATATACCTTATAATGTGAACAGAGGGATGACCACCGGCGTATCTCAGTAGTAGAGCATCGAAACCATTTTATTCGAAGGTATCATGTTTATTCTCTGCCAGTGGCAAGTTATCTTTTCGTCCGCTTTACTTCTGGTCATTTACATTATAATTACTACAAAGAACATTCTCTATATTTCTCTTCGCTTTTTTGTTCGTTAGTTCTAAATAAATGTGTGTCTAGAAAAAAAAAAAAGGTAAGCATTTCGAATTCCCATTCTTGTTTGTACACACATGTGTCGTTGTGACAAACCATGACATAATAAAAATAATGAAATCAAAGCCACTCCAGCAATAACTTTTTGCCAGCCATACATTATTCAAGCATTATATTGCGTCTATTAGAACTACGGTTTTGTTACTGACAGTGTATACCGCCTTTTATAACTGCTCGTTTTCTCACAGACATTTATTAGCAATAGAGTGTTATCTGTGAATGAGAACAACACTATACCAGGCTTGAAATAAAAGTGGCCAAAGGGAGCGCCACAGTCATTTATATATAACGGAGCTGAAATCTGAACGCACGCCCTGGGCGCAACTGCGATGGTACGATGAAGCTAAAGGCGTACCAATTCCCACAGAAGAAAGACGAAGAGCCTCGCAATAACGCCACATCATCGCGAGCCGTTTGCCCCCCAAGGAGTCAAGGAAGGCGGGCGGCGGAGCTGACCCTTTCTACGCTCGCTCACCCTCTCTGGATCGGGCGTAAGGGCACGTCACAAGCGACAGATACGTCAGAAGTCGCACATGCGCGCACACCAGCCAATAAAGATCGGCGAGATATCGGACGAAAAAAAGAGCGCGGTTCCAACTCGGGGCGAGATGTCATTGAACGTGCACGTCGAACGCGCAAGACATAAACTAAGCAAGTAACTCTTGCGACGCCACCGGCATTATTTTTAAAAGCGACGTCTACGACCTAACGGGATGATGCTGAAACAACGCCGGCGCGGTTCTTGCGCCCACTTTCATTGCCTATGACTCAAATGTCGTTCTATTCGGCAGAGTCTAAAGTTGATAATCAAATAACACCGATCTGTAACAAATATGGGTTAGAATAAAAGCGCTAGTTAAAGTGACACAGCAACCTCCCACTCCTATGATGCGGATGAGTGTGATCAAGGCTACTGAAAGAAGATGTGAAAATAGAACTAGGAAGGCAACGTTAGTGGCGCAAGCGCTTAAACGACGAACAGCGGGATCGTCACAAACGAAATGCAACGCGACACGATACTTGATTACGGGATAAAATGAGCAACGCAGGCAATTCACTGCGCTAGCAGACAGCAGTCGCAAACTTACCCGTTGGCACTTTTGACGAGCGCAAGCGTGGACTGGCCGCTGTTGCCAGGACGGAACGGGGTCGCGGCTAACTCTCGTGCTCCTCCTCAAAGAAATAGGGTGAGCTTCGGGAGTGGCGCAGTGGTCAGGCGCGCTCTTTTTGAACACGCCACTTGCGCCGAGTGTCAGCACGGTAAAAAACAACACGACCCCCGGCAGTTCCTGTTTTAGTGAATAAGAATAACTGACAGTGGCATTTCGTAATAACAAAGAACTTACGCCTGCGGTCGGCGAAAGTTTGATTGATACGTTGAGTCTAGCGACACGCCTGTGACCTTTCGTAACCTAGACACATTGCAAAGTACACGTGTCGTGCATGTAAGCTTACACGTAAATGTACAGCCTGAACGTGTTTGCACAAGGCTACTCCTGAGCAATAGCCAAGTATATTGAGTAGTAGGAACAAACTTTTTAAAATTTAAAATGTTGATTGAGGATGAACATTTCATAAAAATCGCCCAAATTTTCAGTATAGGAAGAGGAAATGGGTGGCTTGATTACGCATGATGCCTTTATGGAAGCAAAGGATCAGTTTCACCAAAAAAAGACAGCTAATTTCAATTGCTATGTAGACAAAAGGAGTAAACTCACTTTATATAGTCTACTTGATCCAGTAAGGAATTTCTACTCAGTAACAATATCATCGTGCCCGACAAATGTCGCCGTGCTCGTTAATACCATAAATATATTATATATCATAAATATCATAATACCATAAATATCGATACCATAAATATCTTATGCAACAAAGAAATATTACTACAGTCGCACTTAGCAAAGCATACTCAAAGTCTAAAAAGTAGTGTAGGCACGTATATAGAAAACTGGTTCAATACTACGACATAATTGTATTATAAAGAAATGTATCTCAAAAACCTTTGAAGAGTCTAACAATTTTTAAATTTTTTGGAGAACAGTGGGATGACTGAAACGAACCTATAAATAGTAAAATTAATTAATTTAAATTTAGGCACGGTTATAATTAGGCATTGTTGTAAATGTATATATGTAAGACTGGGGCTAAGCAGATCAATGGAATATGCGATCGGCTTCATTTTGAGACCATTTATATAGACATCCTGAATTTTTTAAACGCTCTTGTTAATTCATTTTCGTTTGTTGGACCAATAAACATCGATTCCTTGAGCGGCGCTTGTATGAAGCTGAAAGCGCTTTTTTTTTATTTATGAAAGCTTTCGGTATTCATTGGATCGGTCCGCTAGCTATTTTCGCATTGAATAACAATATCATCAATTGCAAGTTCTAAACTACTACATAATGGCTTTATCTGGGAATATGATGGTTCTGTTCACATTGCCAATACAATCGAGATGGGGCTACAGGTTGTTTGCCAAACATACATTTGTTTAGCCCGAATGTGCGTTTTCCTTTGGTGTTCTCAACTGATTTGTGGTTTGATGCGAGAGCCGTGGCGTAGCCAGGGTGTAGCACACCAGGCCCGTGCTGCCCACCCCCCCTCCACCCACCCCCCCCCGAATGAGATTACAGCAATGGTCACGTGCAGATGCATGTTGTCCGCCGCCGCCGCCGATGTCCTAACCACATCGCGCGAAATTAGAAAAAGAAAACCTTGCACTAAGGACACAGTAGGGCTTGAACCTGGGTCCACTGGGTGCCAACCCAATATTCTACCACTTGGTTAAGGAGGTGCTCTTAACTTGTCAAACTTGCCTTAGGCAGGCATGACCTAGCACCAATGGTACAGTGGGGCTCGAACCCAGGTCCGCTTGGTGCCAGCCCAGTATTCTACCACTGAGCTACTCCGGATTTTTTTTCTCTACTACCTGTTTTTCTTTACAGGTGTTCACACAGAAACATGAATGATAAAATACACTTGGACCAATATTTGATCCGAAGTGCTCACACTAAATTTTTTTCAGGTTGCACAATTCCTCTAACATTGTAAGCCAGCTGGGAGGTTCTTCTTGTTGTTTATACACCTCAGTGATATACCGCGTATTTGCAATGAAGTTCTCCCGGACACTGAGCTACTCCGGTGCTTGTGACTTGTTGTCAAACTAGCCTTAGGCAGGTTTGATGTCTTTTTTTTTTCCTTTAATGCATGAAGTCATCACCAGTGAAGTATGCACAACATACTTCATCACAAGTCAGGCAAACACCCACAAGCGTCAAGAACGGGAAGCCACTCCGGAACGGGGTCAAAAGTCTCAACAACACTGTGCACTTGAGCAGCTGCTTCTCGGAAGACGGATCTCGTCGACCATGGTGGCTCGGCGTGTCTATCAATCATGCAACTTTTCTATAGTGAATAAAGTCCCAACAACATAAACAGATCATAAGGAGTATTATCAGTCAGATCCTTTTTGAATGGGAGGAACCTAATACCATGAGCTGTGATTGGAAGTTCTTTTCTTATTGTTTCCTTTAGAATGTCCCAAAAATAAAAAAAGCGTCAGGACAATGAATAAAACAATGCTCTGTAGTCTCAGGTATGTTGCAGTGTAAACAATTCACTGTCCAGAGTACGTATATTGATTTTTCATTTAGTCAGGAAAGCAATCACGTTAATACGACTTATAAAGCGTTTTACAACAGTGAAAGAGCAACCAGTCGTGGCACAATGCGACTAACGCAACGAGTGGGCCGTTCAATGCTCCAAGCCATTACAAAAGCTTGTTCATGTTTCCCTATTAACTGTGGCGCATACCCGTTTAAGCCATAACTCCTCATCGTCGTCAGCCACTGCACGGACAACTGGCACAAAATTTTTAGCAAGTGTATAGCGGATACCACGCTTCTCAGAAGAATTCGAAAAATAGCATAGCTAATGCCGGCCTACTACCCAAAAGTTTATTATTAATGCCCTAGTCGGTACCAAGCAAGGGTGCTTGCAGTAGTTAACCAAATGAGTGACGACCTCTCTGCCTTTCTGTAAATAAACTTACCTCCTCCTAACCAAATGAGTGTTTTGAAAAGGCTCTGAAAGGCCGCTATTCTAGCTTTCACTGTGACTGTGCTGCGCCTACCATGCAGGCCTGGCTTTTTTTTCTTTTTCGCCGTGGCATATACAGAGTGCAAAATGATCATTTCCATAACCGGCCCCACTTCAGGTCAAGGAGGTGCTTTCTGTTACGAAGCGCGCCTCCGACGACGTTACGAAGGGCGCCACGAAATCTCACCGCTGCAACCACTGTTACGAAAGACGGCGACGCCAACATGGTCCCGAAGGCGCCACTGCTTCGACTCCGCCGGAAGGTCACCAGCCGTTTGGTAGCGTAGGTTTCTCAGCTCGCGACTGCTTCTGCGCAGAGCTGATAGACGAGAGGACGAGACGACGGTGAGCTAAAGAAGGTTCATGTACAGCATATATATAGAGGCGTTACAAATTCGGCACTGGGGCCGACAGCTTAGAGACCCGAAGAGCCGAGCTCTCCTCTCTAACACATAAGTCTACTCTCGCGACGCGCCGCGGGGCTTTTTTTATATGCACCGGGACGATTCTTTGAGTAACCAAATGTCCAAGCAGAAGCGCCGCTGGCCGTGAGGTCAGAATCCTCCAATGGGGTCGCCGCTGGGCCGCGTCATTCTCATCAAATCTGGAGGCGCTGCGCTGCAAGTGGCTGCACCCAAGGACGGGTGACGTCGCCACGCATTGCGTCAGACTCGCCAGACAGGAAGGCGCCGACTGCTTCGACGGGCTCGCTGTGCATGAGCGACACAAAGGCACCGCCGCGTGATGACGCCGTTGAGTTGTTCGCGTCAGGCGGGCTCGCGTGCTGGCCTTGACACAGATTGCCTTTTTCAGAGGCATGGACAGTTCGGTGTGGACTCGCAGGCATAACATTTCCCCCTTCACCCCCCCCCCCCCCAAAAAAAAAAAATTCTGCCTACGCCCATGCTCTGTGTTTTGCTTTTCGCCGACGTCTTCGGCAGTGGTGTGTGGCAGAAACGGCATGCATTTACGGAGGTAATGCTTTTTTTTTGCATGTTTTGTTCGCGTCTGATTGAATGTCTTTCTCATTGTTTTAACACAAATGTCAGAATCTGGCATTCAATTAGCAGACATTTCACCCTCAGGCGCTCACCGCACGGCCTTTGCATCCAGGCGAGGACGACTGAACCATTAGTCCCAGCGCTTCACCGAAACCTTCAGAACATAGTACACTAGCCACGAATAACTTACGGCAACGAACAAAATGTAGCCGGATTTCTGTTCTCACGAGTTCGCGCTATATTTGGGTGCAGTAATCACCAAATGTAAACATTTCGCACTTCAATTTTGGCAACTACTGCACCAAAATACAGCGCAGCTAAACGTGACATCGTATGGGGGGTGCAAATTAAGCACACGGCGGCACACACCATATAATGGTTTCCACCGTGTCACGAAAGAGTTGGCACAAGGTTGCCGTGTGTCCATTCTCACTGCCTTATCATTATATTCAGGCTAACGTATTTATGGCCAAAGTCCATGTGCAAACGAGCATCGTACACTAACGTTTTATTTTTGGAGAGCGCTTGAGTATTTTTCTACTGTGAAGAGGCGTCAGAAGCGGTTTTATTGAAGCAAGCTAGTTCATTTCAAAAAGACAACGGGGGGTGGGGCGGAGCAGGAACTGACTAATTAGAAATCCTCAAAAAAGACAACAAGACATTTCCCAAATTTAGTTAAGTACGGCGTTGGTATTGTCGCTTCTCCACTTTGGGGGATGCCGTAACTGTCGGAAAACTTTCACGTTACTTTGGCAGGGAAGGCATTAGCATTTACGGGCAGGGTGTGTCACTATGTGTGTGCCGCCAAGTGGACACCCAGCGCAGCTAGGAGAGTGCAATGGCGCGAGCGTGCACCGCATTATATACGAGCGTGCAGCTATGGCGGAAAGGTAAATGGGAGAGGAGAAACAAAGCGCACGCAGCACACTGCCATCTCCTCTACCCCATAGAGTTTCTTAATATACACTAGAGGGAACTCTGGCGCTAGTGTCTATGGGAGCTGCAACGCACGGCGCTTCAGTGAGCATGGGAATGATGGGTAGTACACACATTTGTCTAATGTTCGTACTTCTGGCCTGCTTTTGGCTTCGTGTGTGTTCGTGTG